ATATTACAATGTAAGTTTACAGTCGATATTTCCTCTATATTTAATGATGATTTATACTTATGATTCAGGCTACGGTGCTCAGTTTATTGATGAGGAAGCTGAACTAGAGAGAATAAAAATTCCTTACCGAGCTTTGTCTAATCAGTTAGTGATGGAGCAGAAGTGGAGTCAAATGATTTGATTTCTATCTCTCTACGGCACCTGGGGCTGATCCATTGATGTTTTCATTCATCCAGTCATCTGTGATACAGGGTTAATGTTCATCCAAAACAAAGGTTAGGCATTATCAAGTTAAAATACTGGAATTTTAAAATAACAGCCAGTCCAAGTTCACACAAGTCTGAATCAGTTCTTCTTTCTTTAACAGAATCTAATAGGCAACTAGATATCACCAGTCTAAAGACATCATCAATATTCTTTACAAATGATTGATTCCATATCATAATCTTTGTTAAGTAGCCCTGGCACATTAGCAATGTTTACTGAGTGGACAATAGGCTCCAGGTCCAATTTTATCCAGTGAAGACAGAGAAAGTACAGTGCAAAGTCTTGGGTTGAGGGAAAAGAAAGTAGGGGTATACTGTCTTTCTGGCTTCTCAGAGCAGGAGGCTCATTGATATTGATGGTATTATTTCATTCAAGGCGGGGCCACAGTGTTTTGTCATTTTGAACTGAGATCTTTTTTCTATAGAGGCAAATGCAAACACATCTTTATCTTCCTTTATACTTTTCTTAAGTTTAAAAACAGTTCCACACTCCCCTCTGACTGTTCTCCTGTATATTCTGTCCTGCTGAGGTTGAGACTCTCCTGTCTTTGAATTAAAACAAACAAACAAAAATTAAAAAGTAAATTTTGTTTGGCTAGCATGGTCCACAGAAGACTTCGGGTTCTCCTTTTCTCAAAGCAGAATGTGAGGAGCCCAGAGAGCTGAAAGAACTAGCAGGATAAGTCTAGAACCAAGGTCGCCTTGATAATCTGGTATGTGAGCTTTTCATTGTATCATAGACATGCTTCCAAATTCTGCATTTCCAGAATTGCCCTTGAACTTTAAATATAGCAAGCCACTCCTCCTTTGTGGCACCTATCACCCACTTCAGTTATATGCATTTTTTTTAATTAATGTGACCTAAACCAAGACAAGTTATAGTCATATCCTCACCACACTGTATAGACATGTCCTTCCAAGCGATACAGGAACGCCTCAATGCTGAGAGCACATCCAAAGCATTTGCAACATTTTAAAATTGATGCTGAGCTCATTCAAGAGGAAGAAAATCAAGATGGATTCCAAGGCACAGTAATTCTACCTGCTAATTCTCGTTTAAAATGGGTGTTACATTAAAGCCTGCTACTTCACCTTGCCAAAGCTAAGAATAACTCTTGTATTTGAACCTAGGAAGAGGGAATAATTGATTCTGAGCATTTCATTCTACCGCTTGAGCTCAACTAAAGGAGGAACAGGCAGAGCAGCCTTACTTCTACCTGTGAAACAGTAGGAACTGTTCTCGCACTTTGAACTATATCTCAGACTTACAAGTGTGGAAATAAGTTGTCACGTGCCTTGGGATGTGATTGTCCTGCATGTCCTTGCATTATCCCTGCATAGATTGTGAAGCAAGAGGCCTCACTCTATGACTGTTTTATAGGATAAGCACCTAGACGCCTGGAGCCCAAAACGACAGCCCAGCTGGCAGCATTCTACTGTGGTATCAGAGGAAGAGTGAGTCTCACTTACACTTATTGGCAATGTCCATGCAAGGCATAGCTCAGTCCTCATGAATTTTACATTTTGTTGAGAAAATACACATTAGAAAAAAAGATATGTGTTCAACAGGAGAAAGGAAATACACGTTAAATGCACACTAACAGTAACTTTGCAGAAGTGTTAAGGAGACCTGGGCCCTGACCCCATCTCTTCTGCGTTTGTACACCGTATGCTGTGTAAGCAACTTATTTCTGGTCTTCTCTTGCCAGGTTGTGCACAGGAGTGTAAGAGGCGGTCTTTGCCTCTCAGCTGTGACTTCTGTGAGCGTAGGGTCTGCGTCTCGGTCTGCCTGCTCCTCTAGCTGCATCCACATCAGTGCCTCCCTGAGACTATATGACAGTCCACTGACTGCATGATCCTGAAAATGTGCAAGGTGCATGCTGTGAGTGTTCACACCTGCTGCTCAGATCTCTCTTTCTCAGTTCTGCACAGAGCTGCTTGCACATTAACCCCTTTTTTTAGCCCGAGGTTTGCTCATCCAGGCTTTGGTACTGAGACAAGCCAAAGGTGGCCTACAAAGAAAAAAAAAAGAGAGGAAGTTCCAGGACACTCAGCTAGGATCTGAGGACAAGTTCTGTGTTAACAAGACATAGACAACGCAGGAAGGTACTTTCAGTTTTGGTGAATCCTTGATTACTACCTTGATTTGGATAGTATTATATTCATAACATAAGACATCAGCACAAATTAAAATGTGTAAGCACAAATTGTGCCAGTTTCTCTACACATATAAGACACAGAGAGATAGTATCTCTTTTTGCCTTCTATTACTTCTCATAACTGAAGAGAGGCCATTAAGGAAGAAACATTCAATGATAAGTCAATAGCCACAGAATCCATTTTTTACTTTAATTTAAGGGGCTTGGGATAGTCTGCTGCTTCCTCAGTGTTTTGTTGATAGGAATTTACTAGTTATTCTGCACACTGTTTATACTTAACCAAGAATTGTAGTAAATTTTAGAATAAGTCAAGACTTTCTTTGACTGGCTCTCAAAGCGGCACCTCATAGGATGGAAGACACTGTAACTAAACCAAGAAACATGCTTTATTTTTCCTTCTGGTTATAGCATCTGCCAACCGTACACTGTGGGAAAGACATTCTGCTTTCTGATAGGCCTTCTTGTTTAAGAAAAGGTAAGAAACAGACTAGATGCTAGTCTGACCTCTGGACTTAGGTCTAGGCTTCAAAGGTCTGGGAGCACAGGCACATGCCATTTGACACAAAGAACATTTTGTTTGATCTTGCTTCTGTGTCTTGATTTTTGTCTCCGTTGCCAGCGTACAGATGCTACATTTTAAAATTAAGCATTATGTTCTTACTAATAACGACAGTTCAATATAAAACATGAAAAAAGACCTGTTGAAATTATATCCTCAGTGAAGGCTTGCGGTGACAGACACGGAGAAAGCTCGTGCCCGACCAGAACAGCTCTCTGAAGAGCAGAAGACAGCGGAATCACACCTTTTCTTATCTTTGGACGCTTCAGAGGAAAGAAAAACCCTGAGTGCAGTTCTATGGCAGAATTCATACCAACAACTAACCCAGGAAAGTAGTGGCTGATGGGGTGGAGCCCTCTCACCCACCCCTGGGTCATTCTATCCCACACGACCCCAAACACTTAGAAAATACTACAGCCAGAAGCCTTCTCAAAACCCCTATTTTACTGGAGGTCTTTAAAAGACCCTTTGTAGATACATTTGTCTTATTTTGTCCTATGACATCGACATAAACCTCAGGGTTTTCCCTGCCCAGTTGTCCTGGAAAGACCCTTGCAAGCCAAATACAAGTTCTCATAGAGATTTTAAAACAGCACCATATTTTTGTCAGAAAGGAAGACATCCCTTTCATCTTGTTCATTCTGCCACCCTGTAAAGGGAACTGTGTGTCAATGTGCGTTTGTCATCCCGTCCGGTCCTCGCCTTCATCAAGGGTCCGGCTCTGCCGGATAACAAGGAATGCACGTGAGCATCTGAATGCAAACAGGTAGCTTAACAAAAAATATAAATCCCTGGAAGTGAAATGTAATTACCAGGTTAAAAGAGAGAGAGAGAAAGAGATAGAGAGAGCGAGCGAGAGCACCCATTTACGAGAGCCTATCACATCTCGCGTCTCTGCACGCAGCTCCCCCCAACACTGCTCCTGTTGTGTCAGATAGTGGCAGTGTTGAGCCCAGGAACCGGCGCCCAGCCCGCGGCGGTCCCCGCGGCCGCACAGTCTCCGCGGCCGACTCCGACTCGCCGGAGCTACTGGGCCGCGAGGGCGCTGGGGAGCGGGAGGGGCGCGGGGGGGAGGGAGGCGAGGGGTCCTCGATCCGCGTCCCCGAACTGTTCTCCTTGCCCCCACGCCCTGCCAGAGCCCGGCTCCCTCCAACTGACCGAACATCACCGAGGGGGGGCGGTCGAGGGAGGCAGAGGTCGTCGGCCGCTCGCCGGCTGCGCCTCCCTGGGCTCCGGCTGGGGAGCGGCCGGGCTCGCGGGTCAAGCCGCGTGGGCTCCCGAGCCCCCTCCGAGGCAGATCGCGGGGTGGCAGTCCCCGCCGGCTCCGCCGCGCTGCCGCTCCGATCCTCCCCCTCCCCCGCGCACGCCCTCCCCCTTCCTTTCAGTAGGACTCCGGGACTCGGGAGAGGGCGCGGGAGGCAGGCACACGGGCCCGACCCCACTCCAGCGCTCGCCGGGGACGCGGGCGGGCGGCGAGGGGACGCGGAGGGGGAGCGGGGCGGGCGCGGCCACACAGCGGCGGGCCGCGGCGGCGGCGGCGGCGGCAGGAGCGACCGCGGGCGGAGCGGCGGCGGCAGGGCCGGCGGGCGCCGGGGACCGAACTGCACAGCTCAGCAAAAGCGCCCCAGCCCTCCTCGGCGCGCCGCCTCCCGCGAGCCCAGCCCGGGCAACATTTTGTAACCCTCCAATCCATCCTTTTGGAGCGAAGGGGGGTAAAAAAAAAAAAATAGCGTTGGACGGAGAGACGGGGAGGTCTATATAATAGATACGTACATATGCATATTTATGTGTATGTACATAGATATTATATTTGGCTCTTGCTAAAATTAGCCGGGCTCGCCGCGCGCCCGTGCGCGAGTGTGAGCGGGTGTGTGTGCGTGCGGGCGTGTGTGTGAATGTGATTACTCCAGGACTCCTCGGGCTCCGGAGACGCCATTTTCCCCCTTGATATCTCTCTCCGTAAACCGGCGGCGCGGCGGCGGGCGGGAAGCGCTGGGCTGGCCGGGGCGCTCGCCGCCGCCTGCGCGCCCGGGGGCCCCGGCGCCCCCCGAGCGAGGGCGGCCCGCCCCGCGCGTCGCCGTTTGACAGATGCTCGTCGCTATGGAGTTGCCGCAGCAGCACCTTTGGGGGCTCGGACGAGCGACCGGAGGCGGAATCTGAGCGAGCGCCCGGGCCAGCGGAGCCGGAGACGCCGGGACATGGGTGAGCGAGCGCCGCGACCTTGGCGCGGGAGCCGGGGCGCCTAACCTCCCTCCGCGCCGCGGGCCCGGTTCGCCCGGGGCCGGGGGCGGTGTGTGCCCTGCATGCAAAAGTTCACGTCGCCTTGCCGGGGCTTTGACTTCGCGCTGGGCTGGAGGGGGGTGTGTGTGGAGGTGGGGGGGACCCGGCCGAGGGGGCGGGATGCAGGTCCCCGCGAGGCTGAGCGGGGATGGGCGCGATCCCGCCGGCTGGTGGGTCGGCGGCGGTGCTGACTTAACTGGAGTAGCCCGTTGGTGGCGGTGATGGTGGAAGCGTCGGGCAGGAGGGCTGGGAGCTTATTGAGTTTCGGCTAATCTGATCCCCTCCCCACCCCCTCCTTCTGCACCCTCCCTCGGTCCTGCTGCCGGCTGCCGGGGCTGGCGGGTTTGGCTTTGGTGAAGTGGACTGGGGAGAGGGAGGGGGTAAGGAAAGGGGTGGGGAGGCGGCAGGATATTTTTTCCCCCTCTCTTTGTAACTTGCAGGTTAAGTGGAGCTAGAGAGCTACATTGTAACCTAGTTGGGGGGGGTGGTGGTGGTAAATGTATCAGAATCTAACGTGTGGTTAATAGAAGAACAGGCGAGAAGTGGTCCAGCCAATGAAGGTTGGTGTATGCTTGTGTTCTGGCTGTTAGTTTTTCTCTTAAAAAAAAAAAAAATCTTAATCAGTGGATTTGAGTCTCTTTCTTGTGCTCTCCGGGCTGGCCATTGTGAAAAGGCAGGAATTCCCTTAAAAGCAGAGAATGCCCTCTTTGAAAGCACGCATTGTGTGCGTCTGTACAGGAGCTGAGGGCTTGGGAATTAACGACAGGCTTCCCTGTTCGGTGGTTTCCAGTGGGAAATCACTCCGGAAAGGAAGACCTTCAGTATGGATTTATTGTTTTTGTCTTTCGAACCATTATCTCTTTGGCCAAAATACTGTCTGAGAAGTTCCTCAGAATCCAAGTCAGGTAAATTGGACTGGGCAGATCTGTAGCAAGACGGTGATAACAGGGACGTTGTATTTGGTGTCTGTGATGGAAGCATTGTTGGGTAATTGCAATTTCCGATCATAGAGCATGCTGCTCCTAAATTTAAAAAAAAAAAAAAAAAGTTACTGCCGAAATGCTGTCTTCTACGTCCTCTCCTTGCACTCTCCCTCCTCCCAGCCCCACACCCGCACCAGCGACCACAGTTCTGAAATTGGACCCAACTACAGTATTTTGCTGAAGATCAGGAAAGTTGTTCAGTTGGAAGTAGGGGATGAGGCTGGAGATAGTGGGAGTGTGTGGACGGACCAGTAGTCACTACCCGCTGCTGCTGCTGCGTTTATTCTTTATGTGTCTTTGTGGGGTTCTCAGCGTGTGGATCTGTCTGAAAGGACTGTTGACGGAAGGATTTCCGATTTGTTTCCGTTTCCAATACACTGTCCTGATAATCTCATGGTTGACGTCTGAAACTAACAGGGCAGTGTGTGTGTGTGTGTGTGTGTGTGTGTGTGTGTGTGTGTGTGTCCCCTTAGTGTCCTTATTCCTGCAGAACTCTCTTCTAAAAGGGAATGATTCCAGAAGTCTAAAAAAGCTACTTTCCCTGCCCCTGTTTTCCTGCCCACAAACATCCACACCTTTCCTGCTGAAGTTTGGTTCCCCTTCATGGTCCTTCATGGAAAGACTGATTTTACTTTCTTTTTAAAAATTGTATTCATTTTTCCTGTCTTTCATTTTCTTTCCGTCTTCATCCTGTTTTGTACTTTTTTTTTTCCATGAAGATTTGCCCTGAAAAGTGATTTCATAAAGCATCTGGCTGTCAACAAAACTCTTTGGCAGTTTGGGCCCATCCCCCATGACCTTATAGTACCTCAGGATAAACCTAAGGACCCAGGCAGAGTTCCCTTTCCTCACCCCCTTCAAATGCAGCCTGGCTGGCAAGAGAAGGTAGTGCCAGCTGGCCAGGGGGAGGAGAGAGTTTACAACCTCTAAGATGCAGCCAGTTTACAGTTCTGCCTCCCTCTTCTCTTGACTTCTGTGGCTTCCTTCAACTGTCCTTAAACCCTGGAAGGAGGCTGATCACTTTACTCTGAGTGGGATTTACAGGTTTCAGAGTCACATGGAAGGTGCTGTGTTTCTAGCCTGTGCTTCCCCTCACTGCTGGTTACCAGCAGAAGGATATTAGAAAAGAATGTTCCAGGCAAATTAGAAAGGAGTAAGAAGGCACGTGCGGTCGAACAAGCTGCAGGAAATGTAGTCCCAGAAGACACTGAGGCCAGGTATTTGGAGTGTTGCTTGGCACGTAGTAATCTTTTTCCTCTGTGAAAGAATTAGTTGGGGGTGGGGGAGAGAGGGAGGAGAGGAGAAAGGAGAGGAGAGCGAAAGAGGTCCCAGTTTGAGGAAGTTGAACTGTAGTTGCAGCTGGGCTGTGCAAGCTGCTGCCTCTTTAGTAACCCGAGCTGAGCTGGGGGAGGAGGTGGGGATCACAGGCCTTTAGGAGACACAGGGGCTTGTCTCTCTGAGCAGGAAAATAGGTGTGTCTCTGGAATAAACAAGCTGGAGGTGGGGGAAGGGAACATAGGGGGACATCTCAGGCAGAGTGGTAGTGCTTAGGAAGGAGGCCACTTGGAGCTTGGAGGGAAATAACTCTGCCTTATATGCTTATGAGGAGCCAGGCAAGCACAGGGCTGTAATCTGATCTTTTTCATCTTAACATCAGAATGCTACATAGGAAGGCCTTGCAGGGAGGCTCAGTTCTAGGTTGTCCCTTGGGAACCTAGGGAGGCATCCCTGAGGGAAGCCAACAACCTCTGCTACCAGGAGGGCACCTGGTCCCAAACTGCCATTACTCGCAGGAAGCTACTTCAAAAAGTACCTGATCTCAGTAAAGGAGGGAAGGGGAGTGCAGAACTTTGGGTTATTGCAGAATTTAGCTAAAAATGGCCAGTGGAGAATTACAGAGGGAAGAATATTGCTAAGAAGAAGTAAATAGGTGAGGGCTCACCTCTGGATTTCCTATTCCTTTTCTGCTGATATCTTAGCTTTGAATTCCATTAGGGGCCAGATCAATACTTCTGTGGCACAAAAGTGTACATTTGGGAGAGAGGAGTTCTTGCAAAGTGGTGCCATAACCGCTGCCATGAAGCTTCTGTGGCACATGAAAAGAGGAGCAGAATATACTTAGATGTGTAGAACATCCTTTCTAGGGTCCTGTGGAGACACTAAAACTTGGCTGGGCTTTCCTTGGCCTCCCAGAATGCCAGTTTCTTCCTTGGAGACTTGAAGCTTTAATTAAAACCAGAAAGCTATTGAAGACAGACCCAGCCAATGAAATTCTGTTGTGCTGCTCAGGGACTAGAAATAAATATTTTTTTTTTTTCTGATGGTATTTCAAGTTGCTTCAGTTTTACTCATGCCAGTAAAACTGGGTACATTATTATTAACACATTAGCTTTGTCTAAGGAATTACAGAGCTTAATGTTGGATGTGATGGGGTTTGCTCAGAGACCTCTGGTATCAAAGAATCATGCAAGGATGGGACAAGAACACAACTGCAGTGCGCACAACATTGTATCAAAAGAAGACACGCTTGGAAAGTCCTCACTAGAAGTCACTTTGCCCATTTGCCAGGTTCCTATGAGGAAGGAGGCAGCATTTAACTTTATTCCTGTTTTATAACCTGTTATGAAGTTGGGTCGGCTGTGATAAAACATGTGAAATAACTTACAAAGAAAAAAGCTTTTTGTGTTTTTGTTACAATTTAAAGAGTGACAGTTCAGGGCCTGTTGGTCTTGATGCTTTGGGATTCGGGTGAGGCAAAAACCAAACCAATACAAGAGCAAGGTAGGAAAGAATGACAAAAAAGAAGGTATGAGATCCCAGGAACACTGAGCCTATGCTCCAAATGTGTTAAAGACCGCAGGCTAGGGCCCGCCTCTTGAGTTTTCTAGTTCACCACAGTGCTACTTTGGAGATCAGACTTATACATGGACCTTTCATGGTTGCTAACATCCAAACTTTCCCTAGACTTCTGGACCAGAATTAAGAAGTGTTATCGTAGCCATGTATGTGTGTGTGTGTGTGTGTGTGTGTGTGTGTGTGTGTGTGTGTGTGTTGGGGAAGCATGGCTCTTGTTTTGTGAATTCTTCTATTTCTTCTTCTTTTCTTTCATCATCAACATCATCACCACCATCATCATCATGTGACACAGGGCCTCACTGTTAAGCCCCAGCTGGCCATGACCTCACAAGACCCATTTGCCTCTCTCCGAAAAGCTGGGATTAAAGGACTGTGCCACGATGCATGGTGTTCTGTACACTCTTAGTGAAGGCCGGGACACTTTGGCCAGCCCAGTCCTTGATAAGTGCTACAGAGAAAGCACATGAAGGCACAAAATTGATTCTCACCTGCACTATTTTTCCAAGTTCGTATTTCTGTTTTCATCTAGTCTCCTACTATATTTTTATGTTCCTTTAGACATATCAAGTCAGAATTAAGTGAATGTCGTGATTTGGTTATGTTTTCAATTATGCACTTCATATGTATAGACAGAGCAGATTTCCTATTGTATTCGCAGTCTTAGCCCATTGAAGGATGCTCGCTAAGGCTGAGGAAGTATTTTTGACAGTCTTTGGGTTAGAGACCAGCAACTAATAACTTCTGTGATTCAATGCAAGTGATACTAGTGTCAAATGGAGAATGTGACCAGTTCTGAAGCCCACCGCATCCCTTACGATTGTTCTCAACTTTACTAATGCTGTGACCCTTTAATACAGTTCCTCATAGTAAAATTATTTTGTTGCCACTTCATAACTGTTAAGAATCATAATATAAACATGTGATTTGCAGGATATCTGATATATGACCTCTGTGGGGGTCGCAACCCACAGGTTGAACCACTTGCCTTAGGAGGAAGCAGCTGTCTCCTCCCCAGAACTGTGGCCTACTATGGTAGGTTATGATATATAGCCTCAGGCAAGATGCAAACTGAGCTACTGAGTA